TTTCTGTGGTGCTCAGCTATAGAAATATGAAAGTATGCATCCTTCAAATCAATAGATGCAAACCAGTCATCTTTATTCAGAAGAGGAAGGATCATAGAGAGAGAAACCCTACGAAACTTTCTCGAATTAATATACATGTTCACTCCTCTTAAATCTAAGATAGGACACAAGCCTCCACCTTTTTTGGTGACTAAGAAATAACGAGAAAAGAAACATCTGCTAAACATTGAAGGATGGATGCGCGAAATCGCACCTTTACTCAATAATTTCTCAATCTCTTCCAGCAATGCTGGGGATTCGGGAGTAACTTTTAATTGTCCCAACGGGGGACGAGACGTAAATTCCAGTGAATAACCATTCTCAACAATTTGGAGGACCCAGCTATCAGTTGTTATTGCGGCCCAAGACCATGCAAATGGTCTAAGTCTATCTTTAAACAAAAAACAATCAACTGGTTCAGAAAACTCAGGCTGACTAGAGCCGAGTTGTTGAAGAACAAAAACAGACGGATCGTCAAAGACGACGCCTGGGATTTCCCACAGGCTTAACCTTGTTTTGGTTATATGGTTGGTACCTAGGCTTAGCACCATAACTCTGCCTATGGTTGTATTGGAACTTTGATGAGGCAGCCCTGTTGTTTTGTATCACATTATACCCACTGTAACTGGACTTACGATAAAAGGGGGCTGACTGCTGCCAACGAGGCTTCTGCTGGCCGCCTGGCTGCCAAGAGTACGAGTATGGATAAGGATATTTGGCCGCCTGCATGACTTCGCGAGAATGCTTAATTTTTTCGTCCGTTGTTGGATCAAAAAGACCTTCCTCATTCATCGGAAGGCCTTCCACCAACAACCGACTCTCTTCTGATAACGTAGAAGCACGAAGCCACGCATGACGACGTATGGCTGTGGCCGTGGCGAGTAGCTTCCCTGAAGTCTCAGCCATATGTTTGGCGAAAGTTTTTTGAAATTTGGAAAGAATAAGGGCCTCATCCTGATAAGCCTTAGGAAGACGGCGGTCTTCAGCAGGCAGGAGATGAATAAAAGGTAGCACTTTGTTCCAGAGAAAACTCTGGTATCCGCTCATAAAGGTGGCGTAATGAGCCATCCTAGCGAATAATCCCGCAGCTACATGCACTTTCTTCCCAAGGGAATCAATCTTTTTGCCTTCCTTGTCTGGTGGTGACACAGAATATTTCTTAGGCCTTCTAGACCTAGCTGCCTCCGCCACTACCGTATTAGGAGCAGTGGGGCGGGCAATCCAATTCGCTGCTGAGAGATCTACTTTGTAAAAAAGATCCACCCGCTTAGGAATAGCTGGGGCAATTGACGGGGAAATGTCAGGGACCTTCGTCAACTTTAGCAAATATGGTAGTGTTGGTAGTAGAGTAGAGGAGGAGGTGTCCTGCTCCTCAGGTGTAAACATATGGTCTTCTACTGCAGAAACAGGTTTAGGAGCAGGAATGTCCAGTGCAGTTATCATCCTCCCAATCATTTGCACAAACTTATTAAAGTCATCCATACGGTCCACATTAGTATCCTTATCATTCTCTACATTACAAGTCTCTAACAACTCCACAGAGGCATCTGAGTCAACATTCTCAGGTGGAAGGTGATCCTCAGAGATAGATGGCAGCGGCGTGCCTCTTTGGGAATAGTAATATCCCTGGCGCTCATTCCTCATGCGCACAGGGATTGTCTCTTGCCTTGGCAAATGTCTATCAAGTCTATAGTCCTCATTGCCACCCTGAGGAGGACACACATCCTCTCGATTAGGGGACATAGGTGGTGGAGGACCACAATAGATAAATCTCCCCTGAGGAGTTATTTCATAAAATCCTGGGTGTGGTAAGGGAGGTTCCCTGTTGTAATGACCCCCCAAATGGGAAGGTCTTGCAGAAGAGGCTGTCTTAGCCCTCTTAGCGCGTGCATGTCTGCGCATCCTCGCAGAGCACGACGAATCAGAGCAGGAACTGGTCGAAGAAGATGAAGAGGAGGAGGAATCACTGGAACTGGAACGATCCCGGCGTCGTCTCTTGCTCTTGCGGGAAGGGGCACGCGTGCGGCGCCGACTCGGGGCCCCAGAGTCTAGCATCCCTGACGTGGAAGGGAGCGCCGCATCCGTGCGGCGCCGAGCCATAGCCCCAACGCTCGTGCCTGCCGATAAAGCGAGTGTTGACTCTGAAGGGTGAGCTGCATAAGCAGCTTGCCTTAGCTCCTCCTCTGAGGCAGTCCCTTGGGTCGTGGGGGCGCCGAGAGCGTCGGCATCGGAGGCGTGACGCCGGTCTCCTCCTGCGCACGCACGGGGCGTGCCTTAGCCGATCTCGGCTCTCTTTCACTTTTGTTATCCTCCTGAGCTCGCGCGGGGCGAGCGGAGGTTACTGCTGGCTCCTCAGCAGTATTGTAGCCACGTGGAGGGGTTTCCCTTCCCATCTCGGCCGAAGGGACCAGCTGAGGAGCTGCGGCCGCGGTTCCAGCAACCTTCTTGGCCGACTTAATTACTATATTCTTCGTTTTCTTCACTCTTTTAATTTTCGATTGGGACGCCAGACATATTCAAGTAAATTTCTAAGTAAACCGGGTCTGAAGCAGGAAGATCCGGGTTTTGCTGCTTCTAGGCGCGGATGAAGAGATCTGGAGGCGGTTGGCCAGCCGCGGGCTATTTATGCTATCTTGGGGAATTCTTTACATTAACAATAGTGGCTGTAGCTACTGGGAATCTAAGCCATGCAATTCCCAGCACTGTTATATATGTGCATTACTTTTGAATGTATCTTTCACAAAATATGCATTGTATGCCTTTACCCTACATTAAGACACATTTTGAAACTTTTGTTCATTCGTTCAGTCGTCTCCGACTCTTCGTGACCTCATGGACCAGCCTACGCCAGAGCTCCCTGTCCATTTTGAAACTACTTTACATCAAAATGTATTTTTGTTCCATTTTAATCTAAAACATATTTTGGTATGCATTTTAATAAAAATATGTTGCTTTTACATGCATTTTGCTACTCCTTTTGGGTTGAGTACAAGATCAAGAGGACTCAGTGACAAAAGATCTCTTGACATTGTGTGTGCTTGATCATTTAGTACACTTTTGATTGACTCCACAAAAGTCTTGGAGATAATTTTGGAGAAAGCTAGCTCCTCACAACCCACCTATCTGCCTCCTATTCTAGGGCCCATGCTGCACTGTACATTTAAAACAAAGACCAGGACGTAGAGCCCATTGAACTCAATCTGATATACAGTAGAGTCACCCTCGCTCATCCAACATTCTTTATTATCCAACACAGCCTGGCTCCCACCCAGATCCACAACTGTTTCAATACACTGGGATGTTTTGGTGCTAAATTTGTAAATACAGTAATTATTATATAATGTTACCATGTATTGAACTTTTTTTTGTCAATTTGTTGTAAAACATTATTTTTGGTGCTTAACTTGTAAAATCATCATGTAATTTGACATTTAATAGGCTTTTCCTTAATTCCTCGTTATTATCCAACATTTTTGCTTATCCAATGTTCTGCCAGCCCATTTATGTTGGATAAGCAAGACTCTACTGTACTTTCAAGTAATGTATCTTTAGGTTTTGGATGTAAGACCTATTAAAATTATGGAATGTGTAGGGCTTTTAGAGCCACAGGATGGATAGGATTCCCCCCTCCACAATCAAAGAGGTTCAGCCATGAAAGATGTGATCTGACTAATAGCTCTTGTCCCACTCTTTGCGGAAATATCTGGAGCATTTGTCCTTCCTTTATCAGAAAGGACAGATCAGGAAAACTGTGGGTCTCTTAGTCCCACAGTCCTACACGCAGAAAGAAATCTGCTAACCTAAACAGGGGCCAAAATATTCCTTTTCAGTGTTTTTAATGGGGGGATGCTTTAAAAATATTATTCCTAAAAAATGATTCCATCTTCTTTCCTCTCTCTCCTCTGTTATATCAGTTCTGTGCCAGGATGCATCAACCGGCAGGCAAGATTGTGCTAGTCACCTTGAAGAAGAAGGAAAAGTCCAGATATTTTGCCAATCCCAAAGCTCAGATAAACAAATGTCCTTTACCACTGAATGTGTGTGTTCAAAAGAACAAGGTAAATAAGTAAGTGAATGACAATCCTGTTGGAAAGAATTGAAAATTAAAGAAAATTGGACTGGTGAAAATTACTTGTCATGGCTTCCTGACATCATTCAAAAACATTTGCAATTGTCTTTGCAATTCAGTGACAAACAACGACAAAAAAGAACGAGATAGTTTGATTTTGAATAATTTTACCATAACTTTACTTCAGCCTTTTAAAAGCATCTAAAAATAATGCCAATTCTAAGTAATATCTTGACGCCTTCCACATATTAAATCAAACAACCTGGCACAACACGCTTAACAGCCTAGACATTCCAAATTATAGCCTTCCTGGTTACTAGAACAATTTGCTTATTTTGTTGGCTTGTTCTGCTGTAGGCAATAACGGTACACAGTAAGTCTTGGATAGTGCAATGTGTGGTGTTCCTCTTCTTCAAATGAAACTATTCGGCCCAAGAAAAAAAGATAAGGCATGCCTTGGATAGAAGATACTAGCCATTATCTGAAGAAGATTTTTTAAAGCTGAGATCCAGCAGTTTGCTTTCAGATATTTAAAATTTAATATCAAAGGGGCTCTTAGCAGTATATCCATGGAGGAACCATCTCACAGTACTTAAGTTGTCCCTACTAACACAGCATATTCGTTAAGGCTAAATTATTCCTTGGCAGAGACAACAGATTGAATTTAGACTTGGTATTATGTCAGCTACAAGTCTTCCGATTACAAAGCTATTTATAATGTGCAGCGTGATCTTTGGGTATTATTAAAAATCCAATTATGTCCATCCCCAAAGAAACACTACCCTCTCATCTTTTGTATGGTGCAGGCTAGAATCCCCATGTTCTTAAACTTAATCAAATAAATGTGCCTTGCACCCTGATTTCAATCTGATTTCAATCTGCAAATAGACATACTATTTTGTAACCTTTGGTCTCTGGAGGCATAGATGAAACTTAGTCTAATTTCCATGAAATATACTGTCCAACCTCCAGCACTATTTTGAGCCTCTTTTTGTTTTCTAGTCTCACGGCAAGATAAAAGGCTAGGAAGGATACAGATGCTGTATAGTCTTAGTTGGTGAAACTCTGTCTAGAGTTGTCAGCAAGATAAATAAGGCATTTTTTCTGCAGAGATAGCCAGTTTTTAGAAGATTTCCTTTTCAAGTGGAAAGGGAAGACTGATTCTAAATAATTTAAATGCACTGAACTGTGGAACGGAAAAGATACAACAAAACAGATAGCTAAGATACAATCAGGCAATATTTCTCTGTGTTACTGAATGTAATCCAGTTAATAAATAAAATAAATAGCATGTTATTCTCATCAACTTGGGAAATGAATGGTTCTGGCTAAATGCTTGTGTAGCAGTTGCAAGCTCTGAATTCAATTCTAGTAAAATCTCCTTTACCCTTTAATGAAATAGATGAGGATTTCCCTTCTCTTTAATTTCATTTGTCAAAATGTGATGTAAAATTGGTCCATGATATGTATATTATTAACAAATATCTTTAATAATGTTTTTATCATTTAGATGAGCAAAGAATAAGAATTCACTGTTCATGCAGAAGATACCCAACATCCTCAGCCTTGCAAAACTATTTGACTTTGAGGGCAGCTCTTCCATTAACTTTACACTTTATTCCATATTGGATATATCCAGTGCACAGGCTCCAAATAATCTGTGTGTTTTCCTGAAGAGAAAAGGGAAAGATATACATGACTATCCAAATGGAAATACTACATTAGATGAACTTGTTTGCTTTACTTAGCACAAGCCATCCAATTAATCTCAGTTACCATGTCTGGAAAAGGGGAAATGGCTTAGAACTTTGGAAATATACTTAAATCTATCAAAAATAGCTGTAGTTTAAAATATTTGTCTCGACATTATTAAAGCCATTGGTAAATTATATATATTTTTATAAATGCTGAGTACAAATAGATTAAAAAGTGATAAATCATGGTATAAAAAGAAAAAGACCTTTTTCAAGAAAATGTATTTGCAATTCAACTGATCATATAAAAGCATAAATTAAAAAATGTTTATATAATTGTATGTGCTATAGTTTCACCATTCATTGCAATTACATTCCAGAATACTGTAAAAGAGTTCAGGGTGCTTTGTCCTTGTGAAGGTAGCGCAGTGAATCGAACGTTTACACCGATGTCACTCTCATAACAACCTCTCCAGAGCTGTTGTCATCTGATGAGTCCTCCTGGGGTCTCATTCGACTGAAAAGATGTAACAAAACATAACCACATTGAAATCTTGGCGAGGTTAACTGCGTTGGATGAACTAAACTTCTGTTTCTAAATGCATTTAGTGGTAACCACAAAGTCCTAGATGTTGAGGATTCTCGTTGGTTGCTCTCTTCTATATCCGTAGCTTTGTCATAATTTAGTACATCCCAGTGCAGATTGACAGCCCTCCAACGTTTAAATACTCTAGAGACAGATGCACCTTCATGTACAATAAGTCCTGAAATCAAAAGAACACGTTTCAACTCTTAGTTCTTTTTGCCAAACACTATCTATATAAATAAAAATGTAACGTTCGTTTGTGGGATTAACAGAACTCAAAAACCACTGGACAAATTGACACCAAATTTGGACACAAGACACCTAACAACCCAATGTATGTCCTTCACTTAAAAAATTGATTTTGTCATTTGGGAGTTGTAGTTGCTGGGATTTATAGTTCACCTACAATCACTGAACCCCACCAACGATAGAATTGGACCAAACCTCCCACACAAAACCCCATGTGGGCCACAGCAATGCGTGGCAGGGGGTGGCTAGTTTTAAAATATAGAAGTAAGTACTCTTAGGGTTGAATTCCTATTATGAGTTAAGTTAAAGAACTTGAATTACTGGTGGATGGTTTCTATTTATATCCACTGTACAACACATTTTAGATGTGTCAAGGATTGTCCTTTAATTAGCAGAAGAAGAAAAATGGCATTTTGACTTAAATAGTGTAGATATTTCAGAGTACTCAGCCAAATCAGAACAAATAGGGAAATAGTTAAAAGATACATATCATTTCCCAGTCACTGGAATGTTATTCCCTAGCTCAGAAATATTTAACTTGGTTGCCTAAGATGTTCGCCTCCCAATTTAGCACCCTGAATACTAAGATCAGACACTTCAGATTAAAATATGAGCTGGAAAAAATTAAACCCAATTTAAATCCATAATCTATAATCCTCACCACCTTCCAGTCTTTCCTCCCCAATCCAATTACTTCCCTTGCTGCTGCAGCAGTTGTAGTAGAAAGGAGGGAGGGAGGAAAGTTCCTCATCACTTGTCTCTCAGAAGTAACGCAAAGTGCTGGAAAGAGGAGGGGTGAGAAGATTCCTCTCTTCTACCAGAGCTACTGCAGCAGAAATACAGGAAAGCAGAAATCAAGGCAAGCTCCTAGGTGTTTTAAAAAACCCTGAAGGATGGAATATTAGCAAAGAAAACAAATCTTTTCACACTTGATTTGCTCCAGCTTCTGACTTATAATGGACCCAAATTATTTTTGCAAGATTAACAGTTTTCCACATCTAGTTCTGACCTTGACTGTGAGAGTTTCTTTTCACTTACTGCAACTAACATCTACTCTCCAGCATTTCACAGAGATAAATAAGTACATTCTCATATGAAGCTTCGATTTCTCCACAATTATTGAATATTGTTCTCTCCCTGCTGTAGGCGGTATTAATTTACTTTGCAATTTCCTGTCCCATCCTATTTCTAGACAACAATAAAGCCAAGATCTTTGCTTTTCAGTTAAAAGATAAACTGAAAACTAATTGTCACACAGTCTGTTAGGAACCATCAAAACAGACCTTGCCAGTGTGTGAACCTGGAAACTGTGTGGTGTTTTAGTGTTGATGCACATGCATAGATGTATAAAAGAGCCAAGATATCTCAGACCTGTACTCATTTTTTAAATCCCAGGGAGATAGGTGGATTGTAACTAGAGCAATAGGCCCTAACAAAAAATATGAAAGACATCACTAACATATCCATTAAAAATTCATACAATTTATCAAATCAATTCAAGGAACAATTTTACAAATTGCAGTAGGGGCAGCTGGGAATGCACATTAAAATCTAAAAATGAAGACACGCATAAAAGGGGAAGTATACAAAAGAGAAATCTGGAAGGAGACGGAATTCAAGGGTGCCAAATATTCCATGTATTCAGATACTTAGCACAGTGGGTTAAACTGCCAGCTGCAGAAAATCTTGCCGATCAGAAGTCGACAGTTCAAGCCCAGGTTGGGGTGAACTCTCGCAGTCAGCCCAACTTCTGCTCACCTAGCAATTCAAAAACAGTAATGTGAGTAGATAAATAGGTACTGCTTTGGTACAGAGGTAATAAAAGGTGACCATGCAGACATGCCGACAATTCAATTGGGAGAGTTATCTATGGACAACAAAGCTTCTTGGCATCGAGTTGAGCACAGCCTCCAGATGCCGGAGATGGAAAAAAGATGGGAAGCCTTTACCTCTGTTCATATACTTTCTGTCTTTGTTAATAGTATAACAGCATTGAATGTTTGCTGCATGTGTATGCTGTAATCTGTCCTGAGTCCTCTTGAGGAGACTGGGCAGAATATAAATAAAGTATATTATTATTTTAAACACAACAAGATGAGTCCACAGCAGACAAGATCACTTTGCTGGCTGTTGTATTGGATCATACATCAGACACTTCCCAAGTGTCTAGGACTGTGTGATGTATCGGCAAATAATGTGTGCAGATCCCAGTAAGGTGGCCTTCTGTAGCTGGCAGATGGTAATTTTGTCAGCGCCAATTGTGTTTAAGTGCAGCCCAAGGTCTTTAGGCACTGCACCCAGTGTGTCGATCACCACTGGGACCACCTTGACTGCCTTGTGCCAGAGTCTTTGCAGTTCGATCTTTAAATCCTCATATTGTGTCAGCTTTTCCAGTTGTTTCTCTTCAATCCTGCTGTCATCTGGAATTGCAGCATCAACAATCCATACTTTGTTTTTTTAACACAATTGTGAGGTCAGGAGTACTGTGCTCCAAAACTCTGTCTGTCTGAATTCAGAAGTCCCAGAGGAGTTTGGCGTGTTCATTTTCTGTAACTTTTTCCGGCTTGCGATTCCACCAGTTCTTTGTGGCAGGCAGATAGTATTTATGGCACAGGTTCCAATTAATCATCTGAGCAATGGTATTATGCCTCTGCTTGTAGTCTGTCTGCGTGATCTTCTTGCAGCAGCTGAGGATGTGATCTATTGTTTCATCTGCTTCCTTGCAGAGTCTGGACTTGGGATCTGTCATCGACTTTTAAATTCTGGCTTTAATGGCATTTGTTCTAATGGCTTGTTTTTGGGCTGCCAGAATCAGGCCCTCCATTTCCTTTTTCAAAGTTCCATTTGTGAGCCACAGACATGTTTTTTCTTTGTCAATTTGTCTCTCAAATTTTCCCAGGCACTGTCCATGGAGAGCCTTCTTTTGCCAGTTTTCCCTTCTGCTCTAGACTGTGTTTTTATGGTATTCACTTTTTGTCTTTTGCATTTTAGCAATTTACTACTATTGACTTCCCTCAGTGTTGGTTCTTGACTGCCTTTCACATAATCTTCCAGTGCATGCTTCTCTTCTTCTACCATTTGTTTCACTTGCAGAAGCTCTCTGCCTCCTGATTTTCTGGGCAGGTAAAGTCTGTCAACATCACTACACGAGTGTAATAAATAATGGATTGTCATCAGTTTTCTTAATATTATTTTGCCTCTTAGATGCATCTCTTGAGCCTTATCTTGTTTCTTGTAAAGTATAGAAAGGGAAGAACAATTTTTAAGGAAAAAGTAGATTCAACATAATTCTGCCCAATGACAATAATATAATGTCTGCTCTGCTATTGTGTATACTCAGCCAGGGGTTTTCACAAATTTAAACTCTACTACAATTCCATCTACTCTAAGACTATTCTATAGATAAAAATGTTGTAAAATGTAAAGGTTTCCCCTTGACATTAAGTCTAGTTGTGTCCTACTCTGGGGGATGGTGCTCATCTCCATTTCTAAGCCGAGGAGCTGGCATTGTCCGTAGTCTCCTCCTAGGTCAGGAGGCCAGCATGATTGCATAAAGTGCCATTATCTTCCCACTGAAGCGGTACCTATTGATCTACTCACATTTGCATATTTTTGAACTGCTAGGTTGGCAGAAGCTGGCACTAACAGCAGGAGCTCGCCCTGTCCATGGATCTGAAATACCAACCTTCTGATCAGCAAGTTCTGCAGCTTAGCAGTTTAACTCATTGCACCACCATGGTCCAAGAATTCTGACAAACAATATTTTTATTACCGTTTATATGTATTGATTATCAAAGATCATTACATTTGTAAATCTTGCTGGGATTAGAACTGAAATTTCCAAGGAAAGAGGTGTGCATTTCTAATGTGAAAAGAATAAATAACACCCAAAGTGATACTTATATCACCAAACACAAGAACAAGAGCAATGTAAATCCCAGATTATCCTCCCATTTTGCAACATGTATGAATAGATTATTATTATTTTTAAAATCTTACCTATGCACACTATATCCATAAAACCATACATTCCATAGCAGATTTGAAAAAGGAGATCTTTTCTTTGCCATACTGCATAGGGACTGAGGGCTGACCACAGAAGCCAAGTTACACTTGCTATTAAGAACAGTGATCCCAAAATGACAGCAATCATCTGAACTTTCTCAACCAGAGTTACAGTAATGCTTTGCCACTAAAAGAAAGAAAAGGTAATATGGAAGAAAATGTTTATTAAAATAATTATGCTCCATTTTGACTTCTCATGAAAATGTGTAGTTCGCTGATCTGGACTGTGAGACCTTTCATATCCATACTTGAACAAAATCCCCTTCTCTCCTCTTATTACATGTGCTTAAATTTAAATAAGTTTATTAATGTGGCAGTATAACGTAGACATTCTATCTTATTTATCAATGAAAGCAAATACCACATTTAGTGTAAATCTTTTTAAGATAGGACAATATTTATCTGCAGAAACATAGCCAATATATTTTATAGCACTGAACTGCTGTATGTTTTGACCTGTAAGATAATGATATCATTAATACATTCAGTAAAATATTTAAGTCCTTGCCAGTCATATAGTAGCACAGAAAAAATATCCACAATTCAACCTTGCAGTGCATATCAAAAAAAAAAATAGATGACAAAGTATAGCTTGAACAGGAAATCATGAAGCAAAAGTAATTATCTTGAGCAAAGCCTAGTAGAAGTTAAGCACTGGTCAGGCCCATTTATTTTCAAGAAGTAAAATTATTTTGAGCTTCCCCACTTCAGCTAGTTAGAAAATCTTCTAAGAAAAAGATTGTGAAAGATACTATCAAATTGCAGGCACTTTGGTCACAGCTATTTCCTCATATTTATGAAGGCCCACATTCATCACTGCAATGGCTATACTTCAAGTTCATAATCAATATGAAAATGCCATGCTTGTTTTGCTGGAACTTTAAAATATAATTTCTTAACAATAACAACCTTGATGAAGAAGAATTGCTGTTTAAATATAAATGAGAATATAACATAAGATAAACACATTGAGAATATGTATTACATCAGGGGTCCTCAAACTTTTTAAACATAGGGCCAGGTCACAGTCCCTGGCCCTATGTTATAATAGGGCCAGGGACTTCAAATTATAATTTGAAGAAAGCATAAATAAATTCCTAGGCACATGACACATATCTTATTTGTAGTGCAAAAACACTTAAAAACAATACAATAATTAAAATAAAGAACAAATTTAACAAATATAAACTTATTAGTATTTCAGTGGGAAGTGTGGGCCTGCTTTGGCTGATGAGATAGGATTGTTGTTGTTGTTATTGTGTGCTTTCAAGTCACTTCAGACTTAGGTTGACCCTGAGCGAGGGCCAGGTAAATGACCTTGGAGGGCTGTATTTGGCCCTCGGGCCATAGTTTGAGGACCTCTGTATTACATGATAAATAAAATAAGAAGAGAAACATAACAACATCTTGGCATGGATGCTGCATGGAAGTGAAAGTCACTTCTTCCTCAATGGGGCTTCTATCAACACAGGCACTCTGTTGGTAACTGAGATGGAGCCATGAGAAAATCAGTGTCTCCCAGTTGGGGAAAAAACTGAACTCTGTATTTCCTGCCCACAAAGAAATACCCTTGTGCCAGCTAAACTGCTGACCTGAAGATTGGAGGTTCAAATCTGCGAGGCGGGGTGAGATCCCATCTGTCAGCTCCAGCTTCCCATGCAGGGACATGAGAGAAGCCACCCACAAGATGGTAACACATCTAGGCATCCCCTGGGCATCTGGGCATCCCCTGGGCATCTCTGCAGACTGCCAATACTCTCATACCAGAAGCGACTTGCAGTTTCTCAAGTTGCTTCTGACACAATTTTAAAAAATAGGGCCTGCTCACTTTGACCTTGTTCTTGCCACAATTGTTTTCTTGTACATGGGCTTCTATTAATCTTTCTATGTGATTTTACCAAACCTTTTTGCTGCAGACTATTATTTTCATAATATTAATGCTTATTCATGTCAGCTATACGCTTAACAACAATAACTGCATAGTGGTGGTATTCAGTTGAGATTTGAATATATGCCTCCCAGATTCCTATACAAATTATACAGCTATGGCATCAAAGTGATGGGAAAGAAAGCAATGCTGCATAGCTATTTACTGTGGTCTAATAGAAAATGTAAGAGAAGGAATCAGTCACAAGTTGTCACTATTGAAGCTGGAAACATACAATACTAACTTGACTTACACCAGTACTGTATAAATAGTACTAATATGCCCATAATCAAAAGATTGGGCAATCAGTCTTGTTTGCTGGAAAAATTACGGTAGTCTGTAGGAAGCAATGTTGGCAGAACATTTCAAATGAACTGGATAATTGAGTTACTGCTCTCATGTTACTGCTATTTGAGCAGAGGCCCCATCTACACTGACCATTTAATGCAATTTCAAACTGGTATTGGATAAAATGGTTTCGCTGTGCAGATAATTACATAGGAAATCATGGAACCAGTGTGAGGCCCGGGTGGTGATTACACTAATCACAGAGCACTAATGTACATTAAGAGTTATCTTTCACACACTTTTGTAGGTGTTTGCTGTCTAGCTGACACAGTCAGTGGTCAATATAGATGGAAACTGAGATAACCAGATTGCCCCACTCGAGTCTTTGTTTCTACTTTGAAAAGTAACATTCTAATTTTGTAGATATACATATAAAAATAGACAATGAAATATATGAAAACAATATTTTTGATGTTGGGGGCTCAGAGGTGGTTCACAAAGGATCAGTTCCTACCTTTGATGTATAGCTGAAGCATCTATCTTGGCAGCACACCAAAGGCTAGAGAGAACCATGAACCAGAGATCCATATTTGGTGGCTGCTTTTTGCAGCACAAGCAATGTCAAATACCAATTTTTATGAAATAATTGGGAAGATTTACCTAGTAATAAGCTCCTGTCTGATGGACAATGAACTTCTCTTGGATCTTCCTTCTACTTCATGGAGACATGAGTAAAGATACTGCTTAGGACTTTAAATAAAAACAAGCAAATCTACAGCTACAGCTAAAGGACACCCCTGGCAATTTTAAAGGAAGTATCAAACTACTGCTTGTAGTGGTTAATACTGAAAGTTTAAAGGATTTCAAGACAAACGGTTGTCAAAGGAACTAGAATATCTGTGGACCACTCCAAATCAACTGAAGTAGCCAAACTTATAAATGAAATGAAGATGGGGAAGGATCTTTCTGTAGATATGAAATACATATAATTATTTAGAAAAGTTTGTTGGGGAGATAACTTGTGTGAACTAGAAATTAGAGGTACAAGAAAGTAAGACTCAGAAGCTAGAGGAGTCTAAAGAGAAATGAAAGCACAACAAGGATGCAGTTTTACTACAAGATCTCAAAGAGAAGGAAAGAACATGAGAGTTTGAGTGTGCCACAATGACAGATGGAGGATATTTGTGCTAAAATAATTGAAGCAGTTGCTGATTTTTGGTAGTTTTACAGAAAGATTTCAGTTGGAAGATTGGCAAGATATATTTTCAGGGTTCTTATAGGGCTAGACAGAGAAACATTTTCAGAGATGGTAGTATGGTTCTACATCAACATTGTCTGAACAACTTAACAATTGATTTTGTTTAAGGCTATACTTTCTAGAATTTTGAAAAAAAAAATAATTCTACTTCTTTGACAAAAAAAATTAAAGACAGAAGATAACCTATTTAGATGGGAGAAACTGGAGGGAATCTCTCTCTGAATTAATTGAAAGAGATTCAGATTTAACACAGAGCCAGAGGAAAAAAGAATTCTTGAAGAAACATGGTGACTGCTTCAACACACATCAGAGGAAAAGAGAAGTAGAGAAAGACAAAATTCTGGAGAAGAAAAGACAAAAGACGACAAGGAAAATATAGGCCCAGGTGAAATAGATATGGACTCTGATCATGACTGATCTGTGAATTAGCCGAAATGGACAAATTTACTATGCTGATTCACTAAGTTTAAAAACATTTGAAACTTGTATCACCTTTTCACAACAACAATGGAGACATTTCTTAGCTGTAGGATTCATGAGTTAATAGACGAAAAGTAGAAGTGTGATCATATAATATCATGTAAAGGGAATAGACTAACAAGGGGTAACTATCAGATATACAGTGGTAAGTTTGTATGTCCTTTTTATTTGTTTGTGTGTATGTGTGTGTGTGTGTGTAATTTTTTCTTTCTGTTTTGCTATTTTAATAGTCACTTAGTTGTATTTATTTATTTGTTTATTTAGAGTATTTACTCCCTGTTCTTCAACCACAAAGGCTCTCGGAGGGGTTTAAGTCCAATATACACTGCTGTTTTGTTTCTCTTTCCAAGGCCAAAGCAGTAGCAATTGGGATTTTTTTTACTAGATGCAGTCTTGAAGTTGTGTTCCATTTTTATATCTAAAAAAGTCCTTGCATATTTCTTTAATATTACTTTAAAATCACATTGCATATAATATTTGTAAATAAACTAAAGCAAATATTACAGAGACCACACATCCATCCAGTCCTCTGAACAAAAGAAATCTAAATCCTTCAGAGTTGTCTCTGAAACTTATCACCAAATAGTCGACACACTGTAGTGATATTGAGAATGTCATCATTATTTACTTTTGAAGAAGCCATAAGATGGTAAAGGAAACAAAATGGAATAAATAGCCCTCCTACAAACAGAGCAACTCAGCAGGAAATGGAGGCTTCACACTGGCAGTTTAATGAAGAAATAGAAAATTCCCAGCAGCAGTTTAATAAGGAACTTAAAATGCTGCTTGGACTTTGGAATGCTCTTTCTAGGAAGGCCACTATGGTTACTGTGCTGCTTGGTTTTTTATGATCATGGAAAATGTGGCTTTTAAAAGAAGATTTTGGCCTGGATTAATTTTATTTGATGCCACTATTCTTTATTTTTTGAGTACTTTATATTTGGTTGTTTTTTTTCTTATTTGAAAATTTTAAAATGTAAAAATAAGGCACTTTAACATAATTTGAAAGCATATTGCACTATAAGCTGACTTGAAAATCCCTGTTGGAACAGTGGAATATAAATGCTGGAAATCCACTTCCCAACTTACTGCGTGGTGAGTTTGTGACATGGAGAAGCCCACGTTAGCTGTTTTGCAGAGCTGGGCTTCTCCTTCCCAAAAGCCTGCATGTATTTATATGGGCTCTAAGAAGGGCAGGAAACATCAGTCCATACAATCTAAGCTATTTGCTGGAAGGTGGAACCTGAGGGCAACTGCCATATATTTTCACTCAGGTCTGGTACTCAGGTATTTATAAAGGCTTCAGGAGCTTTGTCCTACCCTACCCAACCTCCCTCACTCACTTCCTCCATAATTTTTTGTGTTTCATTTGATTGTGTGCTTCTGTTGCAACTTTGTTTTAAGTAGTTTGGGCATGGAGTCTAGATCTGAGAACAGAAATGGGGTGGGGGGTATGGACAGCAGGATGAACACCACATGGGGAGGATGTCTGCTCTACCACATCCCTAGTGACAGGGAAAACCACAAAATGACATCCACCTATGTAGAAAATAAAGACTTATTCCCAGTTATCATCATTATGAACTTGACTTAATTCCAAAGATCTTCCAGGGTCTGAAAGAAACTGTCTGCTGTCATCCCTGGGGCTACCCAGTAGGTTCTGGGATCACCAACAAACATGCAAGTTGGCTGGTGTTTAGATCTAGTCCCGTGGCAATGCAACTTTTATTCAGCTGTAATCAATAATGTTGTGCCATTATTTCTTCCACTATCTTGTGTGTTTTGTTATTGATTGATTTTAAATTGCCCCTTGGGGTAGCTATGACTGACTGATCGTACTAACTTTTAATGGTCAATTTTATATATGAATAGTCGACATTCACCACTTCAGCTAATGAAACAATTTGGAACGTTTTTCCTTGAACTATCTGTAGCTCTTATCTTCTCACAATTTGATCAAGGGAAGTGGTTCCCAACCTTTTGTTGATGAGGGACCACGTGACCAGGAACCATTTGATCAGAGACCACTTGACCAGGGATCACGTTGCCAAGGGACCACTCTCCAACATTTGTACCAAAAGAGTTATAAATAAGTTTTGGTCAACTTTAGATTTGGTTTGGTTATTTGGGGTGCTGATTCAGAAATTTGCATTGGATAGACCACATAAGCTCTAGTTTCTGATACAGAACATATGCCATCCAGTAGTCACCATCTGCTCACCCACAGAAAACCATATTTCTTAATCTAGAGCTGATGTGGTAGTAGTAATCTTTCATGGGTAGTCAGTCTCTCCCCTCCTGACATCCCCATTGCTTCGGCACTATAAGAGGGTTTTGCAAGACCAGTCACACTAGTTTCCACATGGTTTCAAGAAACAGTGTAGTGATGGTGAGGCCACAAACCATATTTTTGTTCTTGCAGACCACTGATAGTCTACAGACCACAGGTTGGGAACCACTGATCTAGAGGATTGGAGGGGGCAGATGAGAAGACAAAGCAGACTTATAATTTCTTCCATAAGCCTTCTTTTTTTTAATTTATTTACAGTAGGTTTTGGAAGACAGACCAATGGCCAAAGTATTTAGAGATTAATACAAAACATCAAGTTGTTCATGGTACACATAAACCTTTGATTTGTGTGGTAGTTTGTGTATTCATCAAATGAGAGGGCAATGACAAAATTGAGAAATAGAAAAAATACAGGGGAATTTCTTCTAGTCTCCCTCTGGTAGCTTCTGATGTTTTGGGGGAGTAATTAAATGAATACATCTCCTCTAGACTTAAGACACACATTTATCTCATGAGATTCTGTAGCAAAGGAAAGGGAACATTTTACATGGAAAGTAGGTTTTAAAGAGACTATATTTGAACCAATATAAATTTTTAAAGGAAAAAGAGGACTCATTTTAATTTACTTCTGACAAACTTTTACAAAACCTCCTTAATTAATATGATATTAATTCTTAGAACAAAGCTCGAGATCACATTTAATGTGTTATTGCATTTAATATGCATTTAATCTGAAGTTTAAAAAAATGAAAATATCATATAAGAAGTCGTAATTTTCAGAATCATAGGAGGTGTGGAGTGGGATTTAGCTTTTCCCTTTCATAGGTAAAGGTAAAGGTTTTCTCCTGACATTAAGTCCTGTCGTGTCCGACTCTGGGGTGTGGTGCTCATCTCCATTTCAAAGCCGAAGAGCCGGCATTGTCTGTAGACACCTCCAAGGTCATGTGGCTGGCAAGACTGCATGGAGCGCCTCCCTTTCATAGGTCCCTCCTATACTGCCATATAATCCAGATTACCAAATCAGATATTCAGTTCAAAGCAGATAATCTGGATATCATTTGGCAGTGTTGAAGGGGCCATACTGTGGCCTAAAGAAAATATCTCTTCTGAAGACTGTTTACATCAGGAGGTATTCTTCAATAGCTGCCAATGTTGGGTTATCTTTCACTATAAACAGCAGATGATGGGATTATACCGGCCAACACACATTTTGGTACTTCAAATGTTAGACTTGTTTCTAGGTGTATTTGATCTGCTGATTCCAAAAATGGCACCAGTTTCCCCCCATCAGTTCTAGTTTTTGAGATACTGAACATATGCATATACCACTCTTCACTCAAATTGCTCATAAAAGAACAAGGTATTTTAATGTAGTGTTTCAATTAACATCTTTTAAGCATGAAGGAGATATATTAAAAATTAAAAGAAAGGTGTACTGCATGAAAATTTACTTATTTCATACCAAAAGCGCAGGTTTTTGATACAAATGTTATTATACAAATATAGGAAACTAGAGCTGATGTGGTCTATCCAATGCAATTTTTTGAACCAGTGCCTTAAATAACCCGGGAACAGATCTAAGTTTTAACTCATCTGATATGTCCCCAATTACACACACATCACACAAAGCCTTTGTGACTGATACCAACTTTTCATGTCTTGGGCTGCAAAAAAGGGCAATAGACATGACCAAACCTGTCCTTGTTAGGGCCCTTTCACACAGCCATATAACCCAAAATATCAAGGCAGAAAATCCCACAATGTCTGCTTCGAATTGGATTATGTGAGTCCACACTGCCATATATCTCAGTTCAAAGCAGATAATGTGAAATTTTATTCAGCTGTGTGGAAGGGGCCTTGATTTCTCAGAATAACCTCATTGACATCATTTGTAGTTGCAAATTCCAGGTGAAGGGGACTTGGCAGTGACCATAGCACTGAGGAACAGAATTCAACATTTGGAAGTATTTCCTATGCTCTATTGAATTTGGGCATAACTCAAATGTATATACTGCAGCTCAATCATTTTTGAGCTACAAAGTAAAGCTGCATTACTTCAAGTGCCATATTAACCTCCTCTCATAAGAGGACATTGGTGTGTAGGCTGCAATCTTAGACTCACTAAGTTATTGCTTTGGGAAAGGGACAACTGTTAAGAACTGTTTTATGCCCCTGCTTGAGGTTACCAGTCCTCTTCAGTGGTGACACCCTTAATGTTATTTAGTTTACATAATTCTAACCGAATTATAATTTAAATTTAAAACATTACCTGACAAGGCCTTTTCATTTTGATTGCTATCACATGGTATCTATAACAGCAGAGTTCACAGGTCCAGGACCCTCTTTCACTAATCCACTTCAAAAGGCAAAGCTGATGTGTATATCGTACTGACCCATCACATCGACAAGGATTTAATAGTTCACCCTAGAAAAAAATAACAATTAAATGTGAAATAGATATGTGAAGCATTAATCTTCCCTGTTCCTTGAATAATGCATCTTAAAATCAGATTCCAGCATTTAAAAATATCTTATTTTTACTGGTCTAATACGCCAGTGTTTATCTCAGAATTCTTATATTTATTTCTACCAATCCAAAATCACAAAAATCTTGATAAATATGGAAAAAAGCATCCATACAAAAGTTATTGCTTTGGGAAAGGGACAATACTCTTCCTTTTGCACTTGTAATAAATATGGTTCTGCAGTCATTCTTCTTCTGTACTAATACAAATGCATAGCATCTGAGCGACCTTCATATTTAAAGGAGCTTTATATACTGCAGCTCAATCATTTTTGAGCTACAAAGTAAAGCTGCATTACCTCAAGTGCCATATTAACCTCTCATAAGAGGACATTGGTGTGTAGGCTGCAATCTTAGACTCACTAGTAAGCAAGTCCCATTGAATGTGGGATTTACTTCTGATTAAATATGCAGCAGACTGCACTGTTAGAGAGACTTCCTTGTCCTTGACCCCAGGGCCATGATCCTCCTTTCTTGCAGAATTGGTCTTTTTCCCAGTTGTTTCCCTAGAGTCCAAAATATCCACAAAGAAGTGTGACTGATTCAAAAAAAACAGAGCCAAAAATCTAAGTCCAGCAGAATAAAACACCTTTTGTAACTATCCAAATAGTGTGGAACATGCAAATGTAACACTTTTCTATACTTACATAATCACACCCCAAGAAACACCAGCAAGTTGCACCCTCTGCCTATCCAGAAGGATATCATGACAAGAGGAAAATCAACCTGCCACATGAATGATTAAAAAAAAAACACCAAGAGTGCAGGGAGTTTGTGTGCCTGAACCCCATGAGAAAGAATCCTCAATGCTAATTGTAGGTTGCTCTAGGGATGGAAGAGCCAATGAGAAGAACAGCTTGGCCAAAAAACTAAAGATTTTTTGTTTTTGTGTCATGGGTGTACATACAGATTAAAAATTACTTTACAGTGGATATGTGACCTATTAAAATTTGTTCTAAAACAAATACTGCTGGAACTATCCTCTAGAGCAGAGTTTCTCAAACTGTGCTGCTCCAGATGTTTTGGACTTCAGCTCCCACAATTCCTAATAGCTGGAAAGCTGGCTAGGATTTCAGGGAGCTGAAGTCCTAAACACCTGGAGGAGCACAGTTTGAGAAACTCTGCTCTAGAGGATAGTTCCAGCAGTATTTGTTTTAGAACAAATTTTAATAGGTCACATATCCACTGTAAAGTAATTTTTAATCTGTATGTACACCCATGACACAAAAACAAAAAATCTTTAGTTTTTTGGCCAAGCTGTTCTTGGCCAAAAAACTGTGTGAAACTCAAGGCTTGCAGGCCAAATGTGGCCTGCTATGTCATTTTATGTGGCCTTCCAGGTACTACATTACAACTTTTGTATTCCTCATCATTAGACATCATGATGAAGATTGCAATACAGTAATGTCTGCCATGGGGTTGGAATTTAGATACAAGGCTTGTGGATATGATGTCTGACAGATAATAAAAAGTGATGGAGTTGTTATTCAATAACATCTGGAGACCCAAACGGAATAAAAGTTCTCCAACCACTATGCAAAGAGGTTATAGTTGGTCTTCTGTGTCTATGACTTTTTTGTCTATGGATTCAACAGCCTGTTGAATGCAACCATAAGGCTGATGTGTCCCTCAATAAAATGAGTTTGACAGTCCTGATCTAGAGCAAATTATAAGACTTGCTTTACTTCATGGGAAAGTGGGAAAAAGTTGTTTTCAAGCAGAGATAAATTTCTGTCACTTCCAGTTTTGAGGGAAAAAATATTTAAAACACTTAGGGTACATGTGGCGTGTTGTAAGTCCTAGAGAATCAGAAATGCCCCCTGAAGCTAGTAAAGTTGCTCACTCCAATCTAAAGTAATTTGGTTGAAAGGCAGGACATTTACATATATTCTAAACAGGCACACACATTACCTATAGAACCTCAACATATATCTGGCATGGTGTGTAACATCACACTAAGGCATCATCCTGAAACATTTGTCAGATAATACTTATTTATAACCTGCAAGGAAACATTTGTTATGGGGTCAAACTCATATTCAACACACACAAACACTGATACACGATTGTGTGAAATATATCATGATCACCTAGATAGGAACAGATAAAATATCTCTTCAATGTGGTCTAGAGCAGGGGAAGGCACTTGAAATTCACTACAGCAGTTTCAGAAGAAGCTCAGTTCCTATCAGCGACCAATTTCCTTTGTACCAAAACATTGTGTGTATTAACCTGGATGACATGGTGAAAGACAAAGTATCAAACAGGAAATTGTGACCTGGTGACATATCTCTCAGGCTATGATAGCATTCTGAATTATAGCTTACTCGGTAGGATGAACAGGGAGGAACATGAGGCCAAACAAAACTCTGTGTATTAGAAAAGAATGTTCCATTTGGTGCAGGACATTTCTGTAAAGGCATTTAGGTATAGCAACAAGAAACATATAGAAAAAGATGGAACATTGTAAGAAAATAAGATATTGATCCGTAAGAAAGATCTGCAATCTCAAAACCTCTAAATAAACTATATAAAAAGTTGGATGGATTGCTAAGGCCATCTCTTAATGTACTCAACTCAGCACATGAGCAAAAGCTTGAACATGGTGGCACAAAGCAGAGATAAAGAAAGCTGTGGAGCTTGTGACTCTCCAGATGTTTTGGATTCCAGTCCCCATGAGCCTCTATTTGCTTAGCCAATTGTGAGAGGCAGTGGAAGTGGTCGTTAATCAAGATTTCGAGATCAAAAGTTTCCCTAGCCCTAAGATAAAGTCTATAAACAACAGGCATGTTGATAAATATCAAAGAAGGGGGAAATTGGTTTAGAATCTCAAAGGTGCATAATCATGCTTGAGCAAACTAAATGAGTTCAATTCAGGAAGTCTTGATGGCATTCTCACAAGCCCCGATGAAGGTAAACAAGCAGTGTGCTTTCAAAGTCACTGTAGTCAGCATCCAGTTAGAAAGTGGAACATGAAGAGTATTTCTTTGCTGTGGTTACTTGAAACTGTGGACACAACTGAAAACCATTAAATTAGCTTGCTTCAAATCCAGCATACCACAGAGTTGCAATGGAAGACTAAGAGATTCCTAGACAGCTATCCTCTCTAGGAATTTGCTAGTTCATGCAGTGCAACTCTATGGTAATTTCCAAAGAAAGCATGGTATATAATTGCTTGGAGGACCTTGTAAGTGCCTAGAGCAATGGTTCTCAAAGGGAGATAAATAACAAATAATGCATTGCATCAAGGCATGAAGTATGAAATGGACATGTCTGGCGTATGATTGGCAGGATATTTAAGATTTCTAACAATGAGGAGCTAGCGTAGTGCAGTAGTTTGAGTGTTAGACTATGACCCTGGAGAACTGGGTCAGAATACCTGCTTAGCAAAAACAAACAACCCCCCCCCCCCAAAAAAAAATCAACTTGGATAAGTCACATGTCCTCAGTCTCAAAGGAATAAGGCAAACTTATTCAGAACAAATACTATCAAGAAATCCCTGTGATTTCAGGTAACTCAGGATGACATGTGTCAAAGATGGCATGTTGTAAAATATTAATGCCATTGGTTTTAGAAAAATAATTCAACAGCCAGTTTGCCAGCTGTTAGGATTTCTGGGAGTTGACAGCTAAAACATCTGGGGACCCACAGGTTAAAAACCACTGTTGTAGAGGAATAGAGAAAGCCATAGAGCTGAGCTGTCCAAACTGTGCATTCATGCATGAGTTGCAGTGTGTAGGTAGGATCCCCCAGTGGTGCAACAGGTTCAACCCATGTGCCGGCAGGACTGAAGACCGACAGGTTGCAGGATCATTTATTTTTAAAATATATATGATTTCCTATATTAGCTACTCTGTATTTGTAAACGCTTGCTCGAATAGCCACGTTTTAACTTGCCTCCGAAACATCAAGAGGGAGGGAGCAGATCTGATTTCCCTAGGGAGGCCATTCCATAGCCGAGGGGCCACCACTGAGAAGGCCCTGTCTCCTGTTCCAGCCAAACGGGCTTGTGACAATGGTGGGACCGAGAGCAGGGCCTCCCCAGATGATCTTAAAGTCCCCTGTTGAGCCCTCCAAGAATAAGAAGAAGAAAGGATGACTGTTACTTGAAAGCAACCTATGCAGAACACAAGGAGAGCCTATCTAGGCACACACTGTGCTTGGGAAAGTCTTCATATTTAAGGAAGCTACAATGATAACAAATGGGAATAGTTGTGGGTTGGACTGGATGGCCCATGAGGTCTCTTCCAATAAAGGTGTACGGCAAGGCTGCATACTCTCACCCAACCTTTTTAACTATGTGCGGGGCTTGATGAATGGCAAGCTGGGGTGAAAATTGCTGGAAGAAACATTAACAACCTCAGATATGCAGATGACACCACTCTGATGGCCAAAAGCGAGGAGGAGCTGAGGAGCCTTCTAATCAAGGTGAAAGAAGAAAGCGCAAAAGCTGGGTTGCAGCTAAACATTAAAAAAAACCAAGATTATGGCAACAAGAATGATTGACAACTGGAAAATAGAGGGAGAAAATGTGGAGGCCATGACAGACTTTGTATTTCTAGGTGCAAAGATTACTGCAGATGCAGACTGTGGCCAGGAAATCAGAAGATGCTTACTTCTTGGGAGGAGAGCAATGTCCAATCTCGATAAAATAGTAAAGAGTAGAGACATCACACTGGCAACAAAGATCCGCATAGTCAAAGCCATGGTATTCCCTGTAGTAACCTACAGATGTGAGAGCTGGACCTTAGGGAAGGCTGAGCGAAGGAAGATAGATGCTTTTGAACTGTGGTGTTGGAGGAAAGTTCTGAGAGTGCCTTGACTGCGAGAAGGTCCAACCAGTCCATCCTCCAGGAAATAAAGCCCGACTGCTCATTGGAGGGAAGGATACTAGAGACAAAGTTGAAGTACTTTGGCCACATCATGAGGAGACAGCAAAGCTTAGAGAAGACAATGATGCTGGGGAAAGTGGAAGGTAAAAGGAAGAGGGGCGACCAAGGGCAAGATGGATGGCATCCTTGAAATGACTGGACTGACCTTGAAGGAGCTGGGGGGTGGTGACGGCCCACAGGGAACTCTGCTGTGGGCTGGTCCATGAGGTCACGAAGAGTCGGAGACGACTGAACGAATGAACAACAACAACAAATCATATCTTTTCCACTGTGGCCCACCGCTTTTGAAATTCGCTACCTAAGGAGATCAGGCAAGTCCCCACACTAGCTGGTTTTTAAGAAAGACCTAAAACCCTGGCTCTTCCGTTGTGCTTTTGGAGAATGACCACTCAACCCATCTGGTTGTCTTAGTCTACAGCTGCCCTCAGAATAAAGCATCTCCCCCACCCTAAAATGGCTAAACCCCATGGTTCCCCCCGTTGGGCTCCTTACTTACAAATGCACTTTTATCCCTATCTCACCCAGGGTTTTAACTTTTTTAACAGTAAAAGGAAGAGGGGCCGACCAAGGGCCCCTCACACATTTGGCCCGCCCTCTGTGTCTGGTTTCAATATGCTGTTTTATATTGTTGATTTTGTTATTTCATATTTTGTTATGATCAGGGGCGGCTCATCCATTACGCGAAGTAAGCGGTCGCAGAACACTTTTTTTTGCCAGGGGCGCAGAGGTGCCTCTGTAAATGCCCCTTGACTGCCACTTGAGGAGTGCCCCCTCAGCTCACAACAGCCCTAGCAGTCCGGGGGGAGCCTGGGCTTTCTTGCCTCACTGCTGAGCGATCCTCTTCCCAAAGGGGCCGGGCCCTTGAGCCTCGCCTAGCCCCTCTCGTTCCTGCTCTACCCGGCCACCGGGTGCATGAGCAGAGCCGGCACCCAATCATTCTCCGCGTTCAATCCCTTTCCCATGACCGGCTCCCTTTCCCGATCTCCCAGTGCTCCACCCGCCTCCTCTCCTCTCCCCAATCTGCGGGTGGGTCAAGGGGTGGAACCACCGCACCTGGCCTGCTTTGGGTCTGGAGGCATGTCTGAAGACCCCAGCGTGTGCACCAAAAGTCGCCTTTCTCTTCAGCCATTGGGGCCAAGAGAGAGAGAGAGGGAGCCCCTCCGGCTGGAGGTATCTCCCACCTCCGCTCCCTCCTTTGTTTTTTACCTACCTTCAGGAAAGGTGGGCATCTCCACCTCTGTCTCTCTCTCTCTCTCTCGGTCCCAATGGCTGAGGAGAAAGTCAGGAGAAGAGGTGACTTTTGGTGCACACGCCGGGGTCTTCAGGCACGCCTCCGGACCCAAAGCGGGCCAGGCAAGGGAGCAAATGTGGCAAGTGTAGTTACTGGGATGTATAGTTCACCTACAATCAAAGAGCATTCTGAACTCCACCAATGATGGAATTGAACCAAATATGGCACACAGAACTCCCACGACAAACAGAAAATATATATCAATGATTGGTTGGGTGGGGGGGGGTGTGTGCCAAAATACTGTTTGCTTACTGTTTATTCTATATTTTGTTATGATGTATTTTGTTACTGTGTGTTATTATGTTGTATTATTTTGGGCTTTGCCTCATGTTAGCCGCACTGAATCCCCTTTGGGGGCATACATATAGGTAAAGGTAAAGGTAGTCCCCTGACATTAAGTCCAGTCATGTCTGACTCTGGGGTGTGGTGCTCATCTCCATTTCTAAGCCGAAGAGCCAGCGTTGTCCGTAGACACCTCCAAGGTCATGTGGCCGGCATGACTGCATGGAGCCGTTACCTTCCCGCCTGAGCGGTACCTATTGATCTACTCACATTTGCATGTTTTCGAACTGCTAGGTTGGCAGAAGCTAGGGCTGACAGCGGAAGCTCACGCCGCTCCCCGGAATCGAACCTGCGACCTTTCGATCAACAAGCTCAGCAGCTCAGTGCTTTAATCCACTGCGCCACCAGGGGCCCTGGGGGAGATGGTAGCGGGTTATAAATAAAGTGTATTATTATTATGTATTATTATTATTATTATTATTATTATCTCCTCTCAGCCTTTTCTTCTTCAGGCTAAAGCCCAGCTCTTTAAGCCGCTCCTCATAGGGCTTGTTCTTCAGACCCTTGATCATTTTAGTCGCCCTCCTCTGGACACATTCCAGCTTGTCAATATCTTTCTTCAATTGTGGTGCCCAGAAGCTCTCAAGGGTAGTAGTAAGCATCTCAAAGTCTGGTCTCCTCCCTCCCCCCACCAACACACACCCCCCTCCCCTTCAAGCGTGCAACTAAGCCGGGAAAGGCGAAGCGGCTTCTCTGCGGCGGTGGGAGCTGTCCGTGGTGCTGATGGCCGCTCTGTTCCCTTGGCTTGGAGAGAGGGCACCGTTGCCTTTCCCTCTTCCCTTGCCCTCACCTGCTCGGCGCCTTGGAAGCAGATCTTGCAGATGGGGCCCCCTCCTCCGCCGCCTCCGCCGCTGCTGCTGTTGCTGCACACCGAGCGGGTCTCGGGCTGCTTCTCGGCGCTGTGGCTGGGGCCCGGCCCTGCGGAGGAGGAGGAGGGCGGGGCGGGGTCTCGAGGCTGCGGCTCCCCGCCGCCCCCATTTCTCCCTTCCCCGCCGTTCATGAGGGGAAGCCCAGCGCTCTCCTTTCCCCTTCGAGTGGAGGGAAGAAGAAGAAGGGGGCCGCCCTGGGGAGGGCAGGCGGGCGGAGCGGTCACCGCATGCCCGCCTTCTCCTGTCTTTCCTCCCTCCCTTGGCGGCCGGCGCGCGAGCCCCTGCTTCTGACGCCAGCGGGCGCCTCACAATGCGCCGTTGGAGACCGTTACCGGGCGCGTGAGGCGAAGGGGGAGAAAAGAAAAAAAAGAGAGAGCGAGGGGAGGGGGGAGGCCAGGCGCAACTTCAAGGAAGGCAGCTCGCGCCGGATGGGGACGGCACGCGGCCCCTCGCGCGTCCGCTCTCTCTCTCTCTCTCTCCTCACACACGCAGCGTTACGCCCCTGTGCCTCGGCTTCTGCTTCCCCAACCCAGCCAAGGTCGCGCGCGCTGTTTCGACGGGCCCGCCTCCCACTCGCACTCTTCTCGCCAATGAGGGGAAGCCCCTCTCCTCTCCCGCCCCCGCCTCCGCGCGCGCGCTTTCCGTCCACCTGGCAGCCTCGACTGAGGTCTCCCTCAGGAAGGAATCCCATGGCGTCCACCTTTGGTCAGCACTGACTCCCTGCTGCTCAATACTCGAGGCCAGTGTGGAATTTATTTATTTATTTGTTTAAAACATTTCTGTTCTGTCCTTCTTACCCCTAAGGGAGTCAAGGCTGAGCACAACATAGATAGGGCAAACATTCAAACCATAAATATATACAAACATAAAAATAACTTATAAGTTGCTTTAAAACCATCTCAGGACACCATTTTGCCTCACTGCACTGCCCCAAAGGCTTAGTCCCACTGCCAGGTCTTCACCATCCTTCTGAAGGACAGGAGGGAGGGGACTGATCTAATATTGCCAGGAAGGGAGTTCCATAATCAGGGTGCAATCACTGAGAAGGCCCTGTCTCTCTCATCCTCTCCAAACGCGCCTGTGATGGTAGTGGGACCGAGAGCAGGGCCTCCCCAGAACATCTTAGTTTTCACAGTGGTTTGTGAAGTGAGATGCTTTCAGACAGGTAAACTGGGCTGGGAACGTTTAGGGCTTTGTTGTTGTTCATTCATTCAGTCGCTTCTTACTCTTCATGACCTCATGGACCAGCCCACACCAGAGCTCCCTGTCACCACCCCCAGCTCCTTCAGAGTCAAATCAAATCAAATCGTTTATTTCGGTCATTGACCAGCACAGGAAATAGAGTCACATTTTCATACAAACTTGATATGTTTGGTACATTAAAAATATAAATATAACTACTGAAGCACAATATGGGTGAGGGAGCGGAAGGGAAGGGTCCATTTATCAGAACTATTTTGACACTGTGGGTCAAATTGTAAAGGAAAAAAATAACAAAAGAGTAACAAAAAAAAAAACAAAGTTTGGATCTCATGCATAGATCATGGAAGTAACTTCCTGATGAGCTACAGCTCTGAAATTTGGTATCTGCATAACTCAAGGCACTTCAGATGACTAGGAAAAGATGAACATGAAGCATTTATATTTATCTCTCTCCAGGGTAAAAACATACAATGCCCAGATCCATCACCAAATTATAGATTCAGAGAAGAAGATTACTGGACACGCCGTTAACTTTTGGGACTAGTCATTCCCTGACGGATTTTGTATGCTGCTGCACAGAACTTTGCAACATTGTAGGTTGTAGCTGAATTAATATCTGCAAGTAGCATGGAGGTATAAAATTGTCCTGAATGGTCTGGGTACTTGTGTAACAGAGGTAAGATAAGCCTGGCACGGATATCCCTGTAGAACGGGCACATGTTCTATTGTTTCTACATGACCCGAATCACAGGGACAGAGTCTCTCTGGGAAAGGGATCTTCCGGTAGCAGCCTTCGAGTACAGCTGATGGGAGAGCGTGGCATCGAGCCAGGGTGAAAGCCCTTCGATGAATGGGAACCTCTAAGTTTGTTAAATATGCCATAGGGGAGGCAAGATATCTGCTGTCTTCATTGATAAGGAAGGTTGGAACCGAGGCCAGGTCTAGTTGTCGCTCTGTGTCTGTGATACGTTGTTTAATAAGTGCTTTGTCTTGATTGTAATCCATAGCGAATAGTAGACCTGGAGAGAATCCCAATACACCCAAATATGAACACAGATGGAGTTTGGGGAAAATAGACCATGACATTTGGGAGTTATAGTCACTGGGATTCGCAGTTTATCTACAATCAACGAACATTCTGAACCCCATGAACAACAGAATCGGGCAAACTTCCCATACAAAACCCCCATAACCAACACTTAAGGCCATCAGTCCAACTCGCTTCACCAGGGCAAGAAAACGTAATCAAAGTCCTGACAAAGAGCCATCCAGCCATAGATAGAGATAGATAGATAGATAGATAGATAGATAGATAGATAGATAGATAGATAGATAATTCACACAGAGATATAGTATCATAGATTTGAAAGGGACCCTTAAAGAAGGACAATGATATGTTGCATGTTCCAGAGTAGGCAAACCAGACAATCTCCACATCAACACTGACAAAGAAACAGCAAGAAATACTGTTTACCCACAAGCATAAAGAAATTGCATATATTAGAAACCAACACTTTCTCATTACTTTATTTTCCAGATCAACAGACTGGGCCACAGCAACGCGTGGCAGGGGACAGCTAGTCACTTATAAGTTGCTTTAAAACCATCTCAGGACACCATTTTGCCTCACTGCACTTCCCCAAAGACTTGGTCCCACTGCCAGGTCTTCACCATCCTTCTGAAGGACAGGAGGGAGGGGGCTGATCTAATATTGCCAGGAAGGGAGTTCCATAACCGGGGGTGCAATCACTGAGAAGGCCCTGTCTCTCTCATCCTCTCCAAACGTGCGTGTGATGGTGGTGGGACCGAGAGCAGGGCCTCCCCAGAAGATCTTAGTTTTCACAGTGGTTCGTAAAGGGAGGTGCGTTCAGACAGGTAAACTGGGCTGGGAACATTTAGGGCAGGGGTAGGGAACCTTTGGCCCTCCAGCTGTGGTGGACTTCAACTCCCACAATTCCTTGAGGCTCGGCATTCGCCCCAAAGGCTTACCTTGGCCCAATGCCGAGCCTAAAGGAATTGTGGGAGTTGAAGTCCACCACAGCTGGAGGGCCAAAGGTTCCCTACCCCTGCATTAGGGCTTTGTTGTTGTTCATTTGTTCAGTCGCTTCTTACTCTTCATGACCTCATGGATCAGCCCATACCAGAGCTCCTTGTCACCTCCCCTAGCTCCTTCAGGGTCAAGGTAGTTACTTCAAGGATAATACTAAATAATAACTATTAAAAAATAGAAGTTTATACCATACCACCATCTCCCCAAGGGGACTTGGTGAAATAACACTTTCAGACCAGGAACATTTTTTCCCTCATTTTGTTATGTAGTATTATTATAATTATGTTGTTGCTGTTGTTGTTTACACCCCACTTTCTCTACAAAGGAGACTCAGAGCAGCTCAAACTAAAAACAATGCAATACCATTTTAAATCTAAAAATATACAAATTCCCATGGCTCAATGCTATGCAATTCCGGGAGTTGTTATTTTACAAAGCCTTCTTTGTCAAAGATCCTGGTGCCTCACTAAACTACAACTCCCACAATTCCATAGCATTGAGCCATGGCAGTTCAAACTGCACTGATTCCACGCTGTCGATGCACCCCCAAACCAATCCAAAGATGGAAAATACATTGTGCAAAGCTTTCAAAGTTGACAGACTTGCTTATTTATTTATTTATTTATTTACTATACTTGTATACCGCCTTTTCAGCCTATTGACAACTCAAGGCGGTTTACAATAAGTCAGTTCACATAATATCAAAATACAAATTAAACATTAAAAACAATATAAAACCACAACAGAAACAATAAAACCAACTTTATCACGCATTGCTGCATGCTTTCAAGTTGTTCCCAACCCATTGAACTAATGACAAGGTTTTTCCTTGGCAACATTTGTTCCCAAGGGGTTTGCCTCTGAAGCTGAGAGTTTGGGACTTGCTCAGGGTCACCCAATCACTGAGCAGGAATCTGCACTCAATGACTGAGGGATTTAAACCTTGATCTCCAAAATTGTCATTCAATGCCAAAAATACCATTCGATGATGGATGGTAAAAGTCATTATAAAGGGGAAAATGTGATGACGGAGAGCCACAGCACTGCATCCTACTTGAATTTTGAAGTAGAGTCACTAAGGATACAAAGTAACATAGCAAAGAAACAAAAATGTCCTCCTCCGGTAGAAGAAGACTTCTCTTGAGATATCAGCTGCCATCCACTCTAGTTAACAGGGTGAAATATTAACTCCTCCTCTGCTATATTTATCAGCCAGGAAAACAGTCTCAGCATTCACTGAGTGAAAGGAAATAGCCTTCACTTCAACCAAACTACAGTCAGTTAGTCTTTGGCACTGCACACTGTTTCAATAGCCATTACAGCGAGTGATATTTTGCTTATATATTGACATATTTATGTCCTGGCCTATATCATAATATGTGGAAGTAATCTCAAGTCACAACAATGCCTGTAAATGAACAATTTAAAATAATAAGGAATAAGTTAAACATTCCATAAGTATATGAAGCAGTTAAAAATAAGCTAAAACATGAAAGCCAGCATGACACTATGGCTTGAGCATTAGACCAGAACTGCAGGAGATCGAGTTTTGAATCCCTGCTTAGCCTTAGAAATCCACTGGATGACCTTGGGGAAACAGCAGGCATGGTTTTGGCCTCAGAGGGAGGAAGGTAATGGCCAGCTTCCTCTGAATAAATTTTGCCGAGAAAATCCAGTGGCATACATTTGAGCTGATGCAAACGTACGCAACAAGAATAACAATGACACAGTTCAAAATCCGTACACCGTGCAGATTTGGACACAATCATTAGACCCAAAAGGTGTAGTGAAAAGCCACAACTCAGATCTTGCATCAAGAGACATAGTTACATCTCCATTGCGACATCTGCCAAGGTGAGCCCCCCTCCACCCCAGTTTGTAAGTCGCTTCCCCGCCAAACATGATCATTTCCAGGTTGTCAGAGAGTGATGGAATCAGTAGCTATTTTTCCCACTATTTTCTTAGGTGGATTAACCACAGTGGGAATTTCTGGGGGGTCCTTGAAGCACTTTCAGCTAAAGGACTATAACCGGATATATCATTACCGATCCTCTCATTCTGACAACCCAGAAATGGACACAGCTTACAAACTGGGGTTTGGGTGGGCTGGTTTTGTTCTGCAGCTGGAAGAGAATTTCAAACTATGCAGGAGAAGTGATATGAAAAAGTGATATAAAGAAGACTTACAATAGTGTAACTGACCAACATGATGGTAGACCAGGTCTCACAAGTCACTGTAATGATGCTAGCATTGGCCGCAGTTAGGTTTTTGCAGGGAGATCATGACATA